CAAGTGCTTCTTCGAGTTTAAGCATACTATATATAGATTCACCAGTAACTCTACCAATGATTGTATGTTTATTCTGCAAATCTGTTGCAGAACTAAGAAGAAACAAGTATTGGGAACCATTGTCATCTTTCCAGCATTAGTCCCAGCAATTAAATCACGTCGACAAAAACGCAAACTTGTATAAAATTCGTCCTAAAACACATGTATCCAATAATTATTTTTTAATAAAAAAGAAATTAGTTTTATTTTTTAATATAGTCTCACTTTAAATTTCCCTGTTACAGTTCTCTATATATGCTCTTACCACCTCCTCCTGTACTTGTAGGATCATCAGCATGTGCTATGAATCCTTTGATAATTCTGTGAATTATAGCGACATGGTAATAACCTTCCACACATAATTGTATGAAATTTCTATATGCCTTTGCAGTTTCTTCTGCTCACAATTCTAACTCAATATCACCAACAGTCGTTTTCATTGTATCCTAGGTATGACAAATATATTAGCTTTATTAATTTAAAATACTGTCAAAATCAAATTTATCAAAATTTTTTATTTATCAATGCAATTTAAACTAGAAATTGTTTAATATCTTAATATAGAAATTTGGAAAGTAAATATTGTATATACGTTATATTTCTAAAAACAGATGTACAATCCATTGAAATATTATTAACTAATACTTACTTTAACCATAGTGGGTGGTCCTTGTATATAAATATTACTTATGTTTGTAAGTATCCTGTAATAGAACAAATCATTTCTCAATAATATTTTATATTAAATCTATAGTCATTTATAAATCAGTCAACCAAATGGTTCTTTTCTCGAATAATCATCAGCAGGTAAGACGCACCTTTAACTCCTTTTGACATTGACTTAATAAAGTCCACGATGTGCTACAGCACCATGATTGTTGCTGATTTTATATTTTCCAAGTTCCCATAGATATTTCTACACATTTTTGCCTTAATGCAACATTTATACAGTATATTTAATTTATCTTTATCTTTAATAACTATTACCAATTGTTCATTCTCCATCTCTGCAATGATCCTCATATTTCCATGTCGATGGCACACATTTTTCTCTGTCGATACATATGCTGCTTCTTTTTTGCTTCTTGATTCCGCATAACATGCGTTTCCTCTTGTCACTTCTTTTATACGAATTTAACACATTAGCAATGATCATTGACTTTGACCACTCATATTAATATTTATTTAGATTAGGAATGCAACATACCTTTCAATCTCACTTTGTTCTCCATATCTTTTTGTTATAAGAAGCCATTACCTAAATTAATTCTATTCCCTTATACTTGCAAGTAAAGGTTATGTTAATATAAATACTTACATGTTTTTCGTAATGCAGGCACAACTGAATGGACACAACAATGCTTCCGGCGTCTGTTTGCAATTTTTTCTCATTTCCTATGCATTTTCCTGTTCACTTGAAGAAAAATTAACAAATCACGCAATTTCTGTGATTAACTCATGAAATTTTATACTTGCGTTGTGAAGGCGTACCTTTGCATATTTGTTAAATTACTTAAAAAGTATGACCTTGAAAAAAAAGTTACTATCGTGACATTTATACTACAGAAATAATCAACTTTAATAATGGAAATAAACAAAATATTCGAGGTGATTAAGTTATTTTCAGCCTGTATATATATATTTTATTTTCTTATATTCGAATTTCAACACATAAAAGGTATGCTTCAATATAGGATAAATTTATTCTTTGAATAATTACAACATTTAGACAGTGAATCGATACAGCGGCAATTATTATGCACAAATCTGCAACAAGGAATATCCATATATTTTTAATATGTGGCAGAAGTAATTATTTCTTTGACAATTGAGATTCACTATTCAGTGAATACAATCTTTTAACCATATGCTATTATATCTTACATCATTTCTTTAACAGGATTTATCCGAAAATGTTATTTTTTGCTTACAATATATTATGAAAACCATACTATAGTAAACAGTATTACGCACATCGTTATAGGACATATAAACATAATACGAAAGATCAGTTCTTGGGCGTCTTACGCTTATGCACAGAAGTGAATATTCCCACTGTGCTTGCAATCATCACAATATGCTCGTAGTACACTCCGATATTTTTTTAAGCCAAATCGGAAAAAGGCTAACATCTACATTTGCGATCGCGTATATAAAAACGTAATAGTTAAGCAAACGTGAATAACTAGGGGAAAGATACATTAAAACTATAACTTCCATACATACACACATAACGAATTCTTCTGGTTATTCTCAATTTATAATTTCATCGTGACACTTATAATGAAAAAAAGTTGAAACGCGTAACAATACATTCGATAGAACACGAATGCATATGCTATTATTATACTATGTACATATAGACATTTTTTATCGGCACATTACAATGGTTAGCGGCTATGACTACTGGATTATACAATATTAAACATCTGCCTATTATTATGAACGAAACATTATTCGACTGAGAGAAACAACTAATGGATTGCAACAATAGAAAGATCATTGATTTCTACATTTTTAATATTTTGATTGAACATTTTCTTTGTATAAAGGTCCAAGAAATTGCAATCTTTAGACTGTTTCCCTTAATCATAGATACAATAAAAATTATTAACATCTTCTAATTACACTTGATTATTGAAATAGGTGTAAATACGAAGGTAGCGAGAGGAGTGGCTAAATCTTTCAAACACAGTTTGCAAAATTGCACAAGAAAGACATGATTCACAGCTATATAGTACATACAATCGTGTAAATTCATTATTGTGTGAACACATGGACGCGCATCAAAATTATGTTGTCAATTGCACCTATGAAGTGTAACGTTTCGAATCGTGATATACGATACTATGCGGTAAATGAATGCATTTTTAGATATATTAGTTTAATATACACCGTTAAAAAAAGAAAAAAGCATAAAATATTTCGAAAGGTATTTGTTTTACAATATCTCTTTGTATAATGTGAAAGTTTCAAATTAGCTGATGTTGAATAAAATAGTATTTCATAATTATTCTTAGATTATATAAATTACAACATGTACAAGTTATTTGTAATCATATTACACAATGACTATACTAAGCATTATTTTTAATAATACAATTTTTATGTAACAATATTATAAATACTACTTTATTATTATTATACGAGATGCATATTTCTTCAAAACAATATAAATACAAACTTTAATATTAATTATTTGAAATACTATTTCATTTAACTGCAATCTTAAATTGCATTTGATCGCGGCCTGATATTTTATAAAAAATATCATGCTATTCTCAAAGTGACGAAAACAAGTCTTTTTTTAAATGGTATGAATAGTGCTCTACGAACGTCAGGTACGAATGTTATACTAGTAACTTTTTCTGTAGTTAACACTTCTTTTTTTAAATTATCTTCATAAATCCGATGCCCATTTATGTATCCTATTATCATCATAGGGAATACAATTTGCCCATGAGTGTACAATAACGTTAAACTTATAAGGATAATCGTTTATCTTACATACTTTCAACAGAAGCATAAAATACAGAAATATGTATGAAATAGAATAAAATTTAAGCACAGTGACGTATTTTATGTAAATATGTCAATATAGATTTCTGTACTTCACATTATCGTATATACATTAAAAGTGATCATATATTCAATCACGTCCATTAAATCTGACATGATTATTATCGCGACTTTGAAATCAGACTATAACGTATTGTTAAAAGTAATTAATTAAACACAAAATCTTATGTAAAATATATCAACTAAGAGCTTAATCTTTAAATAACTAAACACAGTTATTTAAAAAGGAATCTGTGATACGTATATCGAAACTTATATTAATACTCTTAACATTCTATTCAGTAAATGCTATCGCTCAAACGTTAATAAATGATTGAGCAATGTTATATAAAATGTAGTGTACATATATATAAAGACAAAAAAAATATGACAGATTTTAATAAATAAATCTGTTTTCAAAATCGCGAAAGATCGGTGTTTTACGAATTATTACAATGTTAAGAAAAGCAGAAACGAAATTTATAAACGTCACTGTTTATATTAATCGAACAAAAAGAAAATAAAATTGACTTAAGAGTAATGAACGCGTATATAGGTAGTCAAGTATGTAAGAGTGACATTTATTCAGGATTGTACGTTCGCCAAACGCGTTGGAGTAGTCGGTTGTAGATCCATTGTGCGACATACCCATCCAGCGATATCTACATTCTCAGATTCAGCTTTCTTTATCCATTCGTGGTTCTAAAAATTAAATGAATTAATTTAAAACATATAGAAACAAATAATATTTAAATAATCGTGGAATAGAATTTATACCATTAAAGTCTTTAAATCTGCTCAAAAAAAGGATTTTTCTTTAAACAACGATCTACAAAATCTGTAAAAGCATCACTGAAAATACCAGTAGGCAATTTCGGTGGAGGTTCATTTACAATGTAATCTAATAATTCGAATATAGCCATCGGTCTTGGACTACCCGTATCTATATGAAAATAATTTATTATTATTTGTAGAAATATTAGAAAAATATATTTTTTATACAAATTTTGCAAAAATAATTTTTTTTATAAATATAATCTAAATATAAATATTATATACAAATATTTTTATATTTTCAATATTTAATATAAATTTATGTATCAAAAAAGTAACTAACTATGTCCAGGTGATTGAGTTGGAGTCGAAGCATTATTTGTAGCAGCACTCTCTGCAGGTGGTTGACCTGGTGGTGTACTAAATATTGCAGCTAAGGTTTTTTCATCTGGAGGTGGAATTGGGTACATCCCAATTGCCATTTCCACAAGTGACAATCCCAGGGACCAAATATCGCTTTGCACAGAATAATGTGTACCTTGAAGTCTTTCTGGCTAAAAATAGAGAAGTTCATATAAAATATTTTGATGTCTTTTACGTATATTAAAATTATAAATAATAATACAATTATATATATTATTCTATAATTGCCTACCGACATATAACTCCTCGTTCCAACAAATGAATTAGCCATGGAATCAATTAACTGTCCGGAAACACCAAAATCGCAAATTTTAATTTCTCCAGCACTATTTACCAAGATGTTACTTGGCTTTACGTCCCGATGCATAATCGCATGTTTGTCTCGCAAATAGCTCAAACCTTTCAAAACCTATAATAAAAAAAAAACATTGTTTAACAAATTCGTCTACAAAATACAATTAAGTAGAGATATATACTTATTTATATAAATTACGAAATTTTTCTCATAAACTCAGCAAATCGAACAAGGCGGCTATGAAAATTAGCGCCTCTGAAAAAAGTTGAATTTCTGAAAAAACAGATCTTCAGATATGTTTTATAATTGTCTTGATATTTTTGTTACTTTTGCATTAATCTATATATTTCAAAATGCTCGAAAGAGCAACTAAAATACTACAAAGAACACGTTCTTCACAAGTTGTGAAGAAAAAGCTCACTGGCGACGAATTAAAAGATCTTCAACAGGAATTGAAAACTAAGGATCATATGATTCCTTTGGAAGAATTGTGCGAGAAACTCAATACCGACGTAATTAATGGTTTAACCGAAGAAGAGGCAGCAGAAGTTCTCTTTAAAGTGGGACCAAACGCTTTGACACCACCAAAAATAACACCAGAATATATCAAATTTATAAAGTGTATGTTTCACGGATTCGCTGGTTTATTGTGGGCCTGTTCAATACTATGCTATATTTTATATGGTGTTAGCATGGCGACGCAAGGTTCAGGTGATGGCATAGAATGGTTGGGAGTTATTATTACCGCAATTTGCATATTTTCTGGTGTTTTCGCGTATATACAAGAAAGTAAGAATACAAAGGTAAACAGATCGCTATCATACTTTTGTTACATGAATGTTGTAGGAAAAGAATAAGTATAGCCCTGAAAGAATGTCACGAGTGTTTGGGCTTAGAACGAAAGTGACCGCGTGCAAGAGGATCGAATGTAAGGGATGTTTATGACAGAGCCGAATGCAAGTGAAGAGTGAAAGCCTAGGAATGCGTCTGAGTGTTTAGGATATGTGACCCAACGATGGAGGAAGAGAACATGAGTATGAAAAAAGACAGAGTGCAAGGTTTAAATAAATATGCAAGGACGCGGAAGAGTCAGTGTGTGTTTTAGAATTAGTCATAGAGTTTTTGAGAGATAGCGAGTGAGAGTCAGCCGAGAGTTATAAATCATTTTTATATTTACATTACTGCTTATTCTGTTGCCTACCCAACATTCCTACAATATTATTTTAAAATAATTCTTTTTCTTTTATTGAAAATGAAATTGTTAAAATTGTATAATAAACTTAATTTTTAGCCCATATCCCATAAGAAATTTTTACTTTAATTTTAATAGAAAAACTGATTTTATTTTAGGATCGCAGTATTATAATATTTTTTATAACAAACGAAGTGTTAATTCGATATATGTATTTCAATAAATATCATTTGAAATATCATAAATGTATTCCCGTTTCCTATAATATTTTACAGATTATGGAATCTTTCAAAAAAATGGTACCAACGTTTGCGACGGTAATACGTGAAGGTGTTAAAATACGTGTAGCAACAGAAGAATTAGTCCCAGGCGATTTAGTGGAAATTAAAACCGGTGATAAGATACCTGCCGACATCAGGATCATTCAGTGTCGCGGACTTAGGGTTGAAAATTCAAGTATCACCGGCGAAAGCGAACCAGTACCCCGAACAGACTATCCTAGTGACGAAAATCCTTTAGAATCTTCTAATGTTGCTTTCTTTTCTTCATTTGCCGTGGATGGAGGTGGTTTAGGAATAGTGATTGCTACGGGTGACCAGACAATGATCGGTCGCCTTGCTGGCCTCACATCTCAGCTTGAAAAAACCGAAACACCAATAGCCAAAGAGATCAGACACTTCGTTCAAATAATCGTTATTGTTGCCGTATTATGTGGAGTGTTATTTTTTGGACTATCGCTGGTACTCGATGCTAATGTACTAAGAGCGTTCACTTATTTACTTGGAATCATAATAGCAAATGTTCCTGCAGTTCTCTTGATAACTGTAACCACGAGTTTGACACTATCAGCCCAAAAAATGGCAAAGAAGAATTGCTTAGTAAAAAATTTAGAATCAGTGGAGACATTAGGATCGACATCGACTATCTGTTCAGATAAGACAGGAACTCTCACACAGAATAAAATGAGTGTGTCGAATTTATGGTTTGGCCACACGAGATACAATTTACCTCCTGGTCAGATATTAGGTGTTGAAAAAAATTTACTATTAGAAAAACCAGCTTTTCAAACGATGCTAAAGTGTGCCACCCTTTGCCTACGCGCAGAATTCACCACGGAATCTATTTTATTGAAGCCAATTGAAGAACGAGAGGTGATTGGTGATGCTTCTGAAACAGGTATCATTAGATTTTGTGAACACATCCATTCGACGGAGGCTTTCCGAAATATGTATCCCAAGATTGCAGAAATACCGTTCAGTTCTATAACCAAATATTATATGTCAATACACAAAGACGACGACGGATATATTATGATTTTGAAGGGTGCTCCAGAAGTGATCTTAGCGAAATGCACTCAGATACTAACTGCAGAAGGGAAGACGGTAGAAATGACACCATTAGATCACGAAATATGTCGACGAGCTTGTGCAGAGTTAGGCTACCTAGGAGAACGTGTGCTAGCCTACTGTGATATTCATTTACCTAGTACTACTTATGATCCAGATTTCAAATTTAACACTGATTCTCCAAATTCGTATAATTTTCCTATAGAAGGTTATAGATTCGTTGGTTTAATAAGTCTTCTAGATCCACCGAGACCAGCTGTACCTGATGCCGTGACAAAATGTCGCACGGCTGGCATTAAAGTGATCATGGTAACGGGTGATCATCCGGTAACTGCGATGGCTATAGCAAAAAAGGTTGGTATAATAAGTGAAGGACAAGAAACCACGTATGATCAGGCATTCTTACAAAACAAATCGCACTCTCAAATAACTGAAAGCGATACACGTGCGATTATTATTACCGGTTCTGAATTACGAAACATGAACGACACAGAATTAGATAATGTTATAAAGAAATACGAGGAAATTGTTTTTGCGAGAACTTCTCCGCAACAGAAGTTACTCATCGTGGAAAGTTGCCAGAGATTAGGCGAAATCGTTGCGGTGACTGGCGATGGTGTAAATGATTCACCAGCGTTGAGAAAAGCAGATATTGGAGTGGCCATGGGTATTACTGGTTCTGACGTAGCAAAGAATGCAGCTGATATGATTTTAATGGACGATAATTTTGCGTCAATCGTAACTGGAATCGAAGAAGGTAGACTAATATTTGACAATCTCAAGAAATCCATTGCTTACACTTTAACGTCTAGTGTGCCTGAAATGCTGCCAATGTTAAGCAGTATTTTATTTGCCATCCCTTTACCATTTATCATTGAGATGATTCTTTGTGTAGATATTGGAACAGATTTACTTCCGGCGATTGCACTAGCATACGAAAAAGCAGAATCTGATATTATGCACCGGGCACCGAGAAATCCAGAATACGATAAACTTGTAAATAAACGTTTAATATCTGTAGCCTATGGCCAGATTGGAATGACTCAGGCTTTAGCTGCATTTTATACATTTTTCCTCATTCTCATGTTCAATGGATTTCTACCCGATCGTTTGCTAGGGTTAAGATTAGACTGGGAGAATAAATCGATTAACGATTTGCAAGATTCTTATGGACAAACATGGACTTATGCTACTAGAATGAATTTACTAAATGAAGCTCGTACTGGATATTTTTTATCTATTGTTATAACTCAACTTATAGATTTAATAATGTGTAAAACGAGAGTGAATTCAATTCTACAACAAGGGATGGATAATTGGTTTTTAAATTTTTCCTTCATTTTTGAAATTATCTTAACTGGTATACTATTATATGTGCCAGGAACAGAGAAGATATTTAAAACCATGCCATTAAGTTCCTACTGGTACTGGCCAAGTTTACCACTTGGTGCATTTCTTTGGACATATGATGAACTAAGAAGATTATGCATTCGAAAATGTCCTGGTGGAATTATAGAACAGGAAACTTATTATTGAATATTTATCTGTATGTAAAATTCATAATTATGGTTTAATTGGTTTAGTTAATAATGCTATGTTATGTAATTATTGATTATAAAATGTCATGAATAGTTATAAGTAAAAATAGGGTAAAATAACAAAAATTATGGGTACAGAATTTTGTTAATACTTACTGCTAAAGTAATTGTGCTTAGTATAGGTTCTGGAATTCTACCAGCTTTCTTTAGTATTAAATCTAATGAACCACCATCCATATATTCCATACATATACTAATTTCTCCATCACTGTAACAAATAAAATATTGTATATTTAATGTAAACATATTAATCTCATAGACAATTATTGCATTACTATGAATAAAAATAATATACCTATAAAAAGCACCGTAAAATCCAACTATATGTGCAAAATTGCACTCATGAAGAACTTTTAGTTCTCTAATTATTTGTTTTTTAATGGCAGGTTTAACTTCTAAATGTATCAGCTGAAATGTCATCATTGTTAGCATTATATTATTTTAATAAATTGATTTTCAAGTTAATACAAATAAATATGAACTATACCTTTCTTGCCATTATAAGACCATATTTTTTATGCCTCACTTTCATAACAACACCACCATTGCCAGCACCAAGTTCACCAAGTTTCTCAAAATCTTCATCGCATAATTCTCCAACCTTTTCTTTTTGACCCAAAAAGCTTTCTAGCCTTTTCCTTTGTTCTTCATCCATTTCTAATTCCTCTAATCTCTCTTGAATGGCATCTATACTCATTTTTCCCATAACTCCGCTACAATTAAAATTAATCAAAATTAATATACGAGCACGAATAATTAAAATTTTCTTTATAAATGATAAAATAATAAGAAAATTAATTACTCTGGAATTACTGGTGGTTCAGAATAAATAGGTAATGGTGGTACCGGTGGTGATGGTGACACAGCTGGAACTGGTTCTATTGAACCGGGAGGTAGTGTCAAGTTTAACTTGTTTTTTGACATTTGGATAGTTAAGTTAAACAATCACCGTTAATACACAATTTTTGCACACAAATATTTCACTTATTAATAATGTTCATAAAAATTAGATGCACTTATTTAATCAATTATGAATTTATTTAGTTGAAAATATTTCTATACTTATATGCGTTTAAATCACAATACATGTACTATCATTAAAATTGTTCTCATTGTGAACTTCGTTCGAAAATTTAGGAAATGGTTTTAACACAAAATGTTGTTAAAGCTGAACTGTCAAGCTTCGAACTGTCAAATTCTTCGTTGGAATGTACTTTTTAGTAAATTACGAAAAAATGTATACTTTATTTTAAAGAATCATTAATTTAATAACAATGATCCCGAAATGGCATAAATATACATATTTTCTGCAAATATTGTGCAAATAAGAAGAGGTTATATGAATCTTCCCGGGACAACGCAAACATGTACAATATTTGTTTTAAATGTTCCTAGGAATAAATTTCCTAAAAATTTGTATAATTTTATGTATTATAATAATATTTGAATTATAGGCAATTACCAATTTTTTGTCTTTTATTATATTAACATAAACGATTAACTATTTTATTACGAATTAAAAATTACTTAAAACTTAATGGTTAATATTTAAAGTCAAAAATTAAATTATTAACATACAAAAAATAATTAAAGTCACTTAAAATCTTCAAAAATAGTTAGAAACATTTACAACTTTATATATTGGAATTATGATCTAACTTGTGTGTATCTAATTGTAAGTTATAACATTTTACTAAAATAAAACGAACGCTTATAGTTTTTTGTTCCAAATATTTTATGTTGGTAATTCGTATTTCACAGGAAGTCTCTTTCTAGTTACATACATGACGTTTTTTCCTTTAAAATCGTGCTATTAAGAGGTACGTATGACTTGTGTTATATCAATTTTTGAATCTGTTAACATCTTCGATTTTATGTTGATAATTTCCTTAAAAATGTACAATTTTTAAAGATATGATGCCATGCAGTCGTTTTGTTGTAATAATGTGAAGTAAATGTTGTGTAAACGATGATTATCGAATTTCAAAATATACATGACGGCAGATTGTGTCACGACACCTATATCACAAGAACCGATGTGAAAGATTGTCACCGAATTTCTATAATTCCAGAACGCAATGGGACGTTACTCTCACGAACCGGTAAATGGCACTAAATCGTGCAAAGCACGAGGCTCTAACCTACGAGTGCATTTCAAGGTAATTAAGAGAATAATTTTCTTATAGAAGGTCTAACCTCAAAATCATGAAGTTGTGTTTACAAAACGTAACAATATAATGATTCTTTTTCCATTACAGAATACACATGAAACAGCACGTGCTATCAAGAATATGCATCTGCGTAGGGCGCAGAAATACCTGAAAAATGTAATTGAACACAAAGAATGTGTACCATTCCGTAGATTTAACGGTGGTGTTGGAAGGTGTGCTCAGGCAAAACAATTCGGTACCACACAAGGTAAATTGGAGTAAATAATTTAATAATTTATTTTTTACATATATGTTATATACTTTTTGACATTTAAAAATAATTTTATTGTTATCAAACTATTTTTTAAATTCAGGTCGATGGCCGAAAAAATCAGCAGAATTTTTGTTACAATTGTTAAAAAATGCCGAAAGTAATGCTGATGTGGATGGATTAGATCTTGATCGTCTTGTAATTAATCATATTCAAGTAAATCATGCCCCTTGTATACGTAGAAGAACATACAGAGCACACGGTCGCATTAACCGTTAGTATTTATGTAGTATTCATTTTAAATATATGTCATTTACAAATTGAATCTATAAGTCGGTTAATTTTGATATATTTTTATAGCCTACATGAGTTCACCATGCCACATTGAGGTAATTTTGACAGAGGAAGAAGATACAGTAGAAAAAAGTCCAGAAGAAGAGCCATCAAAAAAGAAACTTAGTAAGAAGAAGCTTGCCAGGCAAAAGGAGAAAATGATGAGAGAATAATTTTAAATACTAGCTGAATATTGAATGTACTATGAAAAATGAAAATTACACTGTTCTCTAATTTTCTTACTTCATTTCTATCCTTTTTTATTTTATCCTTATTCACTTTTACCAACAAAAATGTGAAATATTTACAAATCAGGTAAGTTCTATATTCAGATTAATATTTAAGAAGATTCAAAAGATTAATTACAGAAGAATTAATAATGTATACCACAGGCAAAGTGTACAAATACAGTATTGAAAGGTTATACCAAAAATATGGATCATGAAGGAAACAATAAATATCCAAGATATACACATTTATACAACGATATAGGCAATAGAAATAAACTAAAATTAAATAAGATAAGAAAAGATAAAGTTTCATTTTATATTTATATGATGTGTTTACCTTATCTGTAGTTACAAAATATACTTAACAAGTTTATATAAAAATCTTAGGAATATTCTAAATTTTTACATTTCGAAAGAATAAAATTTAAAATAAGATTTTAACAGGATATTGGGTACTTTGTAAAATAACAAACTTGATTAAGTTTTTTTACTTTCTTTCATTGTTACATTGTTGTTTTGTTTTAAACATCTTGTAACTGCTAATCTTATAAATATGATGGCTGCGTTTAGAATATGAACCAATGACAAAAGGTACAAAAGTACATAGCAAAAATGTTACAAATACCGGGGAATGAATTGTCAGTGTAAATGCTGTATCTACATCTTGCGTTTAGTGCGAGTACACAAAATTCACACACGGTTTAAGGATCACGATATTCTATAGAATATCTAGTATTTGAACATATATGGAAATTATGTGACATCTTTGTGTTTTCTTATAAAGAAAATGCTGTGCGAATTCACATTCACATTTCATTTATTCTCGAAAATATTCTCTACTATCTACTACGAATTCTAATTGTTAATACTACTTTATTTATTGTCATTCGAGATTGATATGTAAAATGGGAATGTGGTACTCAATTGTTACGACATTCGTTGCTTATAATGAACTGTTTTATGCATTAAATGTGAACAAATGTATGAACGTACAATGTGTTATTTTGAGACGTAGTAAGTTTGTCAATTTTCCGGATGGGTGTATGACTGTACATCGATTTATTGGATTTGATGTAATTCTCCATTAGTGTCAAGAAAGTGGTTCCCGTGTTGTGTTTGGTAAAAATAAGCATAATAATCCTCCACCTGTAAAAGAAAATGTGAATTGTATTATTTAATAAAATCCAGTTCCATTATAAACTAATATTTTTTTTTCATTTTTTCTTATTGCCTATAATTTATTGCTTCTTAGTTCTCAAATATTTTATAGTTATCAAAAAATCTACCGATTAGAAGTGCAGCAACGATAAAAGTTGGTGCTGGACAATACATATCCAGAAGTTGAGCTATTACGATGTTTCCAATGATTCCACCGAGACGCGCAGCGACCATGGAAATAGCAATGCCTGTTGCACGAAGGGGTGTTGGAAAAACTTCGGTTATTAGACAGTCTAAGGCTGCATTTCCGCAGCTTATTACACCACTAAAGATAGCCGAAACAATGAGATTGTGGTGCTTATTGTATACGAAGTACAATCCGATCGAACAAAGTCCCGAAGAAAGTGTACTAAACACTGCAAATAAATATTTATTTAAATTAAACCTTTATTTATTTATTTTGTTTCTTCAGCAGAGAATTGTTAGAAATGATTCCTTTATTGTTGAATGTAAATTTATGTTAATCTATAAATATTTATTAAAATATAAAAAGCAGTATTTTTATAAAAGTACTTGAAAGTATATATAATCTTGGTATTTACTTAAATATCGAATTACAAAAATCATTGCTACATACCCAAAAAAAATTTACGACCAAGACGATCCATTCCTAATACAGCGACGATGTTAGCAGGTATAGCGGATGCTACGGTAATCAACGATTCCAAAAAAACGGAAGCGCCAATTTTATCCGAACAAAGGTTCTCAACATTTTGAGAACCCTTTTGAACCACGTACTCAGTCACCTGACATATCGAAGCGATTTCTCCGGGATGATCACGATGGAATTCGTCAAAACGATTAAACAATTCAGGGAACCACATCATGAGACCATAATAACCGATATGAAAAGTGAAATTGATGATGATCGAAATCATGGTAAAACGAAGTATCGGTGAGACGAAAAGTTGTTTACTATTGTCTACGATATCGGCGAGCATTGTTTTGCATTTGTTCTTTTCGATGCTATTCTTTGTTGGTTCCGGTACTTGGATATCATCCAGAATTAATTCTTTTACCTAAAACAGAATTATTAAAGGTTACAATTTATTAAGTAATTAAAATATTAATTTTTCACTTTTGTTTTTAAATCTCTACTATAAAGTAAAAATAAATTCATCCGAAATAATAAATTTTGTTTAGTAGCAATCAATTATCGTAAGAAACACATATTTACCGTGTAACTATCACGCGGTTTGCCAGTATTAATGGCATAAATCCCACGGAAGATATCGAGCGCTTCTTCACATCTTCCGCAGGACAAGAGGTATTTGGGGGATTCAGGGAGCAGCAGGAGCAGCCCCGCGACGATAAACGAAGGAGCAGCGCAGAGCAGCAGGAAGATTCGCCAAGAATTATACGTGAACGTTGAACTTACAATACCGATGTCATTAGGGATGATCGACCATGCCAAACCTAAAAATAAAATAAAGAAACACTCACGCGTGTTAAAAATATACCAAAAGTATATTTTTCCGAATTAGAATAGCAATATTCTTCTCATCAAATCAATTGCTTAATTCCCTTTTTATCAATATTATATTGGGCAATAGATATTAGCATAATAATTCAAGTGTTTTGAACAAATAATTACAAACGATTGTGATATTTTTTGTAACGCAGAAAATAATTTTTAATAAAAATATGCGAGAAGTATCGTAATATCGATATATATAAAATAGTGTGTAAATTTACCAGCAACAAAGAGGTTTCCAAGCGTCCAGAAAGCAGCCATGAAGGACAGCATCGAGCCTCGCTTCGCCTTCGGTTGAAATTCAGCGAAGTAAGACCAGATGACTGGTCCGCTACCTCCAAGACTAAAATTAAATTAAACTTAAATTAAACTAAAATTAATATCCCTTTAAATTCTTCGTTAAATTCAGATAGTAAACTTAAATTTTAGTAATTTACAAGTGATATTAAATCCATTATAACAACAGCATTTTTCTCCTTTTATTCACTTACGCGGCGCCATTGAGAAAACGAAAGAACATGAAGAGTTCATAGGACTGGCTAAAGCTGGAGGCGACAATGCAAAGGGCATTTGTGAAGGAGATGGCGATGAGAACCTTTCGACGACCTAGAGCGTCCGCAACGGAGCCCCAGGCGTACGCGCCAGCCATCATGCCAATGAAGATGATCGAGTTGAGCCATCCCTTGGTTTGGGTATTGAGGTTCAGGTCACATTGTGCACTAGGTAGGATGAAGGACATGGAGATTACGTCCATCTCCTCGCTAGTGCTGACGAAACCGCATACCGTGAGGAGGAAGTAATGAAATTTGCCATAGTCTGAAAGAACGAAAGATATTTACAAAGAATGATATAAGATCGTAAGAATAGGATTATAGAAAAATTAGCGGAGCCAAAGAAAGAGAAAAGGTATCTTTAAATATTGACATTTTACTATTTATATCTGCGAAACGATAGAACAGAATTAATTTAATTACCGGTAAGTTCAATAGCCTTCTCAAAATCTGCTTTAACGAAGGATCCTTTCTCTGGATCTAGGGTCTTGCCCTTTGTTCCAATACCTGTTGCAGAAAATTACGATGCACATGGAAAATTTGTAAGAGTTTAATATTCATCGAGTGATACGATTTGCTTATGAAATTTGTACTTACGGGCAAGTTCGAGATCCTTAGAGCCACAGCCGTTTAGCCGCTCGTCTTTTACATCACACTCTGAAATGCATATAAAAATACTTTTATACTTTACTTTATAATAATTGAAATTAAATAACGATTTATAATAATTAACGATATATTTCGCAAATTCAGTTGTTATATCTAAAATAACAGTTTTATTTATACAAAATTTTACTTCATTATGTTACCACATTCCTAACATAAGTAAAAGTACTGGTACAGAAGTGGTCTGTTCTCTTCGTTATGTAAGAAATTCTCCTATGTTGTCTAAATGTAAGATAATTTAATTACTTTGAAAAATTACTTTTAAAAACTTTTAAAAAAACATCTCAAGAGAAATATCTTTATATTGAAAATGATTTCCAAAGATACGTACTATGATTATGCTTTGAATCAAGTTCACTTTCTACCATTCTACGATGTCGGCGCAGTTGGGTGAATCTGGCTTGGTAATAGAGTTAGATGAGAAATCTTCGTGCTCGACGATGGGCTTCGATCGATATTAGATTGATCTTGTTCTTGCGGATTGCTGGATCTCGGCGAAGTCTTCCTGCTG